CCGCGGTGCCCCACCAAGAGGTGAGTCTGGTGAATCCCTGTTCCCACCATCTTTCGCTCACTGGCGACAGGTCGCGGAGCACCACGCGCGGCTCCACGAGGGGGAGGTCGGGGCCGGGGTCGAGGTTAGAGATTGTTCATCAGGGGAGAGCTGTGGATTCTTTGGACCTCGATGGTTGGCTAGGTGCTTTAACGCACAATTGAGACGATACGTATGGGATACTCGTTCGCTTGTAAAGCGGCTTCAATGCTCGTACTAATACTGCTAGATCCTCATTGTACTACGCTATGGTTCATCTGATGGATGTTTTGCTATACACCGATCACTCCGTAATCGTCATCAGCCGTCCCCGGGCACCGTCTCGATATAACAACATAAGGTACATACACCGTTTGCGTGTTCACGCTAGCAAGTATGACATAAATACCCAGTGATACGAAGTTTTAATGTTCGCTCATGATCTTAACGTGTTAGCATGCCACCTCTCCTTGCAATCCCTGAACTCCTCCGTCTCAAACAAGGAGCTGACAACTCCAGCCACACGTATATCCGGTAGCCTCGCTTCCACCTCCTGCGCCGTCAACGTCCACTGGGAATACGCCACCAGAACAAAAGATGAAGGGCGACACTGTGACCGCTGGATAAGATTAGCCACGACCTCCAGCCCCGCTGCATCCCGCAGCGGGACCAGGAGTGTTGATAGGTTTGGTAATGCGATGTAATCGAGGAAGATGTGATCGTCGCCCTGGCTGTCCTGCAAAGTCTCTGGGCTGGATCTCGGTGCAGTAGACAGACCAAGAATGCGGAGCGTGCGATGGGGGATCGGGACGGCAGGTGGTGTAGAGAGCTCATTCTCAAGGAGGCCTGTGGCGTTGATGAAAAGCTCCTGGAGTCGGGGAAGGCGGTCCACGAAACACGCCTGGGTGATGGTCGGCCAGTACCCGCTCGCAACGACGAGGGACTCGAGGCACTCCCATTCCAGATGGAAGAATGCGTAGGCATCCTCCATGGTGCCGAGACATATCTGCAGCCGCCTGAGGTTGGTCAGAGGTCTGGTGTTCGCGCCCAGAAAACCGGCATCACAACGCGGAAGGGTCAGCTGCTCCAGGTGTGGCCACGCTCGGATCGTGTTGATGAGCGTCTTCACCTCCAATTTCACCTGCCCATCGGCGGAAACGTCAAGGATCCGGCACCTTTCTCCAAACGGGGCGCTAGACAGCGTACGTACGCACTCCTCCGCGAAGTCCTTGGCGTCCTCCTCGCAGACGTAGAGGGAAATGTCGACGGGGCGCGAGCGCGGGCGGGCGAGCATCGTCATCACGTAGCTCTGGTCGCTCTCGGCGTCCCAGTTGACCGGGATCCAGCTCCAGAGGCCGCCGTAGGGCGATACTCCGCCAGCGCGAGGACGATGGCAGTACACGACCTCTCGTAGACGCCGTCGTAGCTCCAGTCGAGCGGGCGGAGCGCATACGCAAAGATGAACTCGAGGACCTCGTAGGGAAAGTCGGAGATGGAGGGGACTTGCGTCGAGTGAATCTGATGAGAGCTGGCGAGCGATGCTCTCGACTCGCGCAGCCGTGAAATGGCAGTATCCAACTGATCCATTGTGTTCTCGAGACTGGTCAAGAATTGACGAACTTCAGTCCGTTCTCCTGGTGATGGAAGCTGCCCCGTGAGTATATCAGAGTCAAGCAAAGGAATCTGGAACAAGTCAAGAAAGATGTGTTATTAACGTATCGATGGATGCAAAATCGTGACCGAGGCGTACCAGGCTCAGAACTTGAGAACACTCATAGTGTGCTAGAAACAGCTGGGCAATAAGTGGGTGAAGAACTAAGAACGGGAGCGTCTTTATAACATGAGGAACACTTTGACCGCACATCGCAGTTAAGCCGGTCGTTTCAAACATACCAAACGTTATTTACTCTGGCTTCACGCATTCATGTTGTTACAAGCCCCGCAATCTAGTACTAAGAATAGATCTACACTTTGGGTTGTGCAACATTTACATCAATGACTCGGACATTTCATATGTCAGACCCGGGCTTTGACATGTACCGGTCCTTGGGCGCTCTTTAAGAAGGATTCGCGCCGAGCTGCTCGGGTCAAGCGCCCAATCGTCGTTGTCGAAATAACAAGTTGCTGTAGAGGAGACCCACTTTCATCCCCATGACAAGTCAAGGTTGCGGTGCCGTCCTGTGCTGCATTGCCACTCGGAACCCACCTTCCTTTTGATCATCCGCTCGAGTCATCATGCACTCAATCATCTTGGGCGCGTCCGTCGGCCTGCAGCGTGTTCAGGATACACGCGAAAATGCGCGTATATAACAGGACGCGTCAATTTCCTTTCAACTTACACCCTACCTCCTGCTCCTTGCCCTGCACCGAAGCTCACCAGCCATGGGCTCTCTGGAGGACATCGTTGGCCAGCTCATCGAGCTCGCCAGCTCCAACTCTGCCATCAATATCACATCCGCCCCCAACAACAACGGCACGGCGGCACGCCAGCCCTCCACCGGCTTCCCCTCCAGCTTTTCCGACATCTCTTCGATTGCCACCTTCCTCCTATCGTTGGGCGCCCTCCGCAACTGGGGACTGTTGCTCCTGCTCGGCAGCCTCCTCGAGAGCACCCGCCAAGGCCTATCATCGCTGTGGAAGGTCATCGCCGACTCGTTCTTCCTCACCGCGCGGTTCCATGAAGACGATAGCAGCTTTGGTACGTGACCGCTTGTCCACTTGATGCCCTACATCTTTCCTGATAAAATCCCCAGATTGGATGATGCTCTGGTTATCCAAGCAGCCATCGATCCGTACGCTCCTCTTCACCCCAAGTTTTCGTGTGCAATCTGTTCAACTCACGCTTTCACAGACAAAGCCAGGGACGTCGAGATCAGCACCAGGTCCCACTCCTCGTCCTACGACGACGACGACAAGAAACACGTGCGCATTCCCTCGATGTCCGAGACCTACACGCTCTGGTACAGGCGCCGCTGGATCCGGGTGACGCGCGAGCTGAAGGAGGGCAACTGGCGCAACCCCGAGGAGATCCTTGTCCTTAAGATCTTCACGTGGAACCAGAGCATCATTGACGATATCGTGCTGGAGGCGAAGAAGCTGTATAATACGGAGCGCGAGGACAAGGTCGAGATATACGTGTCCAACTCGTAAGTGGCCGTCTTGTTGATTTTTCTCAAAGGCTGTATGTACTGAGATTTGGGCTTCTGCAGAAACTGCTGCGACTGGAGGTCGAGCTGCACCCTCGCAAAGCGCCCTCCTCAGTCGATCATCCTCGAGCCGGGTGTGCAGGACCTGGTTCTGGGGGACGCGAGGGACTTTATGAACAGCAAGTCTTGGTACGCTGAGCGCGGTATTCCGTTCAGGCGCGGGTATCTTTTGGTAAGTCCGCAGTTCTAACCCTTGGCCAAATCCACGTCGCTAACATCTGTCCTACCATTCAGTATGGCGCACCCGGTGCTGGCAAGACTTCCCTTATCCACAGCATCGCCGGGGAACTCAACTTGGACGTCTACATCCTCTCTCTGTCCCGCAGCGGGCTCGATGACTCCAGCCTCTCGCAGGTCATCAGCGAGCTGCCCGAGAAGTGCATCGCGCTCATGGAGGACATCGACGCCGCCTTCCACCACGGTTTGACTCGCGAAGGGCCCTCGCCCGCCGACGACGCTGAAGATGGTCCCGACGGCCCTCGCAAACCGCGCGCCGCG